CGAGGCGGCGCGCCAAGCGGAACTTCCGCAGCCTGGGCGAACCAGTAAAGAGATATGATGTCATGCAAAGGTCATGAGCGGGAGAACATAAGAGAAATCATAAGGGCCAAGAGAAATCTACTTGTCTGTGGGAGAAGCGGTGGGGTTTGGGTGCTGCTCTGCAGTGCGTGGCTTCTGAATATAGTGGGTTGCGTGGTATCGCCCGCCAATGATGGTTCCACCGGTATTGATAAGCTGTTGTGCTGCTGCTGCAGTAGGAACGGATACCCGCATAGACACGGGAATGCCTCCATCTATCCAGCGTCTGAGTTCTTCATCACTGCACAGAAGTGCCACTGCCTTTACGACGTGATCGAAACCACCCGTCCGGAGTGACTCCTGGACAAGAGGGAGCGTGTAGCACGAGCGGCCACTGGCAGGGAGGTTGTGGAAGACAACAGAATGCCATGATTCCGCAGACTCGAACACAGGGGGTGGATGGGTGTCAGAAATTCGGAGAATAGGCTTAATGGCTCTCCAAATAATGTCCTTGTGTGTCTCAATCAACATTGAGGCCAAGGCGGTGTCTTGCTCCACCTGGATGATGAGGTTCCCATTACGTGTCCAGCGTACACCTGCAATCAATTTCCTGCCCGGGATGGCTTTCTGGATTGCATGCATTATCGCAGGCGGGTAGGCAAGGTAAATCTCGGCCAATCCTTCTCCGCAAAGACGACTTCGGGCGGGGGAAGAATCCAAGCGGATGACAATGTCAGGGCGGGCCGGATCGGAATCCGGAAGCGGAGGGCTGGAGGGCCGGGACGCTGCGGCCCGTGCATATGTCTTTGTTCCCGTTGTGGTGAGTGGCACCGGAGTGGAGGCAGAGGTGGAGGAAGAAGCAGCGGCAGGGGTAGAGGCAGACTGGGGGACTAGGGGTGGGGACATGGTTGGGGCAATAATACGGCGGTTTACGGCCTCAAGGACCTCGAGGGCATGCAAAGTGTAGGCAACTGGGCAATCTGCGTCTTGAATGAGCGCCAAAGTGGCTAGAGCGGACTCGAGCAGTGTCTCTAGACATTGGTGGTGGGCTCGGACACGATCTGAGTGAGGAATGGGCTGTGTTTCGGGCAGAGGCGTGGTGGACAGCGGTGTGGGCACCTGCAGTGGGCAATCATGGTGGTGGTCAGAGCGTGAGAACATCTCCCTCGAACAGGGGGTATCATCCCCGGCTGCAGTGCAAGCACGAGGTGACAAAGAGGTGATCTTTCTTGGCGGCCAACAGGAGAGGGCATGAAATGGTTGTCCTGGTGCACCAGTATGTGCTGCAGCGCCATGGCTGTACGGAACGACAGGGCATGTAGAAGAACCGAGGAGGGAAGGCTGCCATTGGCACGGCCAAGAAACAAAATTGATTGCAGGGAGTGCAAAGAGAGAAAGTCGATGATGGCCAGGTGACTGGTTCTGGGGAATGAGTCTGCAAGCCAGTGACCCACAGACAGTGAGGCGCGCTTGACGTTGGAAAAGAGACGCAATAGCGTGGCGGCTACAGCCTGGATGTCCTGGCGCACGAAATCAAGATCAACTTGAAGATCGCGCACATATGATGCAAGATGCTTGGAGTCCTTTAAAAAGGCGCATAACATAATTGCGTTCGAATTATGCAGACAAAATGAGCGAAAAAGGAATCGCTGGCTGGGGACCAGGAATCTGTGAGACACCAATGAGCACGATTTGAGACTGGCCTTCCGTCCCGGCCCCCCTCCGGCGATGTTGGAAATGATCGCGTCTATCAGTTCTGGCGCCAGCCTGAGCGACATGATGGGAAGAGGCAAGACGGAATCAACATCGCCAAATAATTCCTACTCTTTATAAAATTAAGCCTGTCTGAAGCTTTTAAACTCCGCTCTGGGTAAATCAGCTCCAGAGTTATGGAAAGCGCAGTTTACACGGTCGCCGGATGATGTTTTGACACCCAGAGGCTTTCAAATCAGGAAGGGGATGCGAGGCCGCGAAGCGGCCGAGCAGCCGCTTGTATTTGATCAGATTACACCTGTTGGCACCCGACAATGCCCGTTTGCGTTTCCATTCCCATGCTACTTGAATTGCACGGCCTGGTTAATAAATCCCGATTCCGCAATAGATTTATTTCTTCCAAGTTCGAACTTGCTATTAAGAGGCTAACACGACTTGGGGGAGAACTCTAAGTCGAGACCAATGTTGATGCGATTACCCGGATGTACCGAAGCATCGGTGTTGTGACTGGCTGGAGTAAAATGTTAGAATGCAAGTAACGGCGATGTAGAGCCACATACCACGCATGTACACATCAGGCTTCAGGTACGCAATATACTAACATAATGCTGACATCACACTAAAGCAATGAAGTCAACAAACCAGGTGTCGCGAATGACTCACGCTGCTTCCTCTAGTGTGCAGGCACGCGATTATCTACGTGTGGCCACTGGCAGGGCGAAGGGATTTTGGTATCACCGTGCACGTCCCAATTGGGAAGCCCTGCCATTTGGCCACAGCCGAAAGTCAGACTTAGTGCAGGCCTAACCAGCCGGCTTCACGTATAGGTTTATAGGTATAAAATGGTTAGAATTGGATTTTACATGTATTCTTGGTCACATATCATTTTTCTCCGCACATAGCTCGAAATCGGCTCTACCAGTTGGCTGACTCCTCGTTCAAAAGTGGAATGGTTACGAATTTCTCGGTGGAATCAAGTTCGTGGGCAGGGAATGAGTACTCTGAGAGATCCACAGAAAATTTTACACAACTTGAGTCGCCGGTTGTAAAATTTTCTGTATTTGAGCAGTTCTGACTCCACAAGAGTATTTTGCTTTGTCCTGGTTCAGAAGTGGAATGGGTATGGATTTCTTGGTGGAATCAAGTTTGTGGGCAGGGAATGAGTGCTCTGAGAGACCCACAGAAAATTTAACCACTGGCGACTCAAGTTGTGTAAAATTTTCTGTATTTGGGCATCCTAGACACAAAATTGAACTAAATTGCCTTCAGTGGCGGTAAAAAAGAATGGGCGCTGCCGTGTGAGCTTACCCTTTTGTCAAATCGCTTCGAATAAAATACTACTATGATGCTACATGGATTCATGACCTCCTGCGCAACTTAACCCATATCATGTTTGTTTATCCATAACCAAAATAAACATAGATCAGGATTCAGCTAGTGATTGAAGAGTTCAACTTTCAACGTTGAATCGTCTTGAGTGTGGACGGCAAGGAAGCGTGCGTGATAAGCCATATTATCACACGCTCACGGCTTCGAACGGCATCGCATTGTTTGATGGATAACCCTGATCACTGCGAACATTTACAGCTAGTCAGACCCCGCTCGGAAGTATTTCCATTTCCAGAGTGCAATTACTGGTTTAAATTTTACATGTAAACTGTGTGACTCGTGTCTCTGAGGCAGGCCAGTTGGAATCGTCCCCCGTGCCTGTGCATATGTTGCCTGGGTCTTGTTTTCTTTTTTTCGCAGGCTTCTCATATGATGTTTTGAGATTCTGAGAGCACCGCAGCCCAGAGGTTGTACACCGGAATATTTTGCAAAATGCCCGAATCAATTACTGTGCCTTTACAGCAGGCCAATCTGCAAAAGATTCTGTTTCTGTGGCAGGAGGGCTGACTTTTGACATCGGCTGCACCGGCGCCCAATCCCCGAGTGAAATCAGGCATCTGCAAGCAAATCAGACCCATTTCTGATGGGGGAATGTACCGTGAACTGGTGCTGCTGGCTGACAGTCTCTGTCTGCAGGATGGAAATTTACGCCGCAAGCGCAGACACAGAGTCCCGTGGAGGTCGCCACAAACAGTGAGCTGATTGATTGGGTTGAAGTTGAAAGAGAGTACATGTACTTAGATAATGTCTACTACATTCCGCATAATCAGATCGATATTTTTGGTTCGGTACAGCAGGATACGATTCTCGATTCAGAGATTGTATTGTACTTGTTGTGGAAGTACAATCGCCTCTGTCTTAACCCATTACCCTCGGTTGACCGGAAAAGCATGCCTTCTTCCACGTGAAAAAGCAGGCGCCGTGCCATTTTCAGAACGACCGGTCAGTTTTCTTCACCCAATCCAACTGTCCCTCTCTAGTTGTTCAAGATGTCATGGAATTAAGGCCTTCAATTTAAGGGTTATTGCTCTTTTATTTCGATTCCCTCACCTCTGTAATTATCTTCAGCTTAAACACCCAATATTTATGGGAGAGCCTGAGGAGAACAGCCTGAGAAGAATAGCCAACTCAACAGATATGTTGGCGCTGGCAATGGCGAGAGAGTTGTGGCCCTTGTCGAAACAATAATAAACTCATGCCTATGCTCATCGTCCTATAATATGTAAGTAAGTACTCATAAATTGCAATGTTGACGCACCGAGTCCGTTCTAACCTTCCAGCCAGTGGAATATGATCACCCGAATACTCGTGTAGTTCTTGCACGGGTTCCAAAACCTGTTCAGCAGTGTTACGTGTGAGCCTCGGCATCGACATTGGCAGCATGGACGATCCATATATGTGACGGAGAGTAGCAGTCGGCTGCTAGTTCCGGCACACGAAGGGATTCGGTTGGGTGGGTGGTCAGACCAACGAGGTGAGTGGCGTAAAGATAGCATTGACCGGGGACTAACTACGGACATCACAGGGTTATATACTACGGGATTCAGGGGTTGACAGGTGGAGAATCAATATCAAGGGGAATCAAAACAAACGAGCGTGATATCTTGGCGCGCGCCAAGTCGGAGTCAAGGATTATTGAAGGAAAGTAAGGAATGTCGGGGAATGAGGTAGGCAAAGAAAACTTAACTGTTACAATATATCATCTAGGAAGGGTCCAAGCAAGGTCCAAGGGCCAAACTTGCCTCGTTTGCAATGCCTCAGGGGGTAACCCTTTGAGACACGCAGGCACAAAAATATGATTTTCATGGTCGGCCGAACCGAGCCTTGTAGGCTGGATAATATTGTGGCTAGCTGATCCATGGTTCGGCCGAACTGAGGTCCATAGGCCTGAGGATCGAACTCAAGGTTTTCTGATTATCGCAGAAAATAGCACATTATGTAAATCAGACGCATAACCACTCTGCCAATCGGCCTATCACCTTTTCGCACTCCTTAGTCAGCCACTGTTGAGCACCCATTCGCGGGGTCATGTTTGCGCTCAACTGTCTAAAGTTTCTTGAGGAACCCATTTTAGGGTCATGCGGTTCAAAATGCAAACCAGTAATTGCACTCTGGAAAGAGTAATAATGCTTCCAAGCGCGATCTGAGTGGCTGTAAATGTTCGTAGTGATCAGGGCTATCCATTCCTGGGACGTGCAGCTCTCTGGGCCTTCATTGAAATTGGAATGGCTTGCAGGCACGATTATCCTCCAAGAGACTTCAGCTTTCGACGCCCATACCGCCCGGGCCTGCCGGATCTCTGCGTCGAATTCCTCCGCCTCACTTTGGTTGTACCCACCATCCCGCATCCACTCGCTTCTTATTGTTTAATGGTGGATCTGGACCCCTTCGGGCCTGGGGCACTACACTCTATTTACCATTGCTTTGGGAAGAAATACACGACTGCTTTCATTGGACTGGTGGACACTGGGGATTTTTACCTGGGAGGAGAGAACTCCGCCTGCACACCAGCATATCCTGCTGGTGGTCAGGTCCCACAGGGTTTAAACCAGAGGTCCTGCCATACAAGCGGCCGGCCAGTCCATGGTTGTACCTCTACGCACCTATTCACCTACGTATCACACGAGATATGTATTAGCCCTACCGTTCCCTTATACATATCTACTTGGGGCTTTCGGCTCAATGCCGGGAGTCGCCGTCTCGCTAATCTCCTCGCTCATTCATGAGTACGCCGGAGTTAGATTGAGTTTCGGGCCGTATTATGTGTTTTAATATACTTAACAAAGCGTAGCTAACTTAAATGCCTATTAAATTGACGAACCGGCGCTGTGATTCCAGCCCTCTGCCTCGTCACGTGCGTTTTAGGGTAGATTGCTCGCTTCGTTCGTAAGAAAGTCATAATATTTTTGAGATGCAGCAAGTTCTTGGTTGGTTATGATTGCAGCACTTTGCGGAACATAGGGCGCGGACGTTTTTTTTCTGTTTTGGGACATTTTGCTCAGGACAGCTGTCCTGGGCATTTCGGCTTTCAGCAAGTCACCTGTAGCACTTGGAGTACTGTTTAAACTGACCAAAATTTTGGATATGCTGACTGTATACATATACTCTAGTCAACCATTACGTTTTTACATGTGGACATACCCAAATCCACTTTGAGTGCTTTATTTTCTCAAGGAGAAGAATGACCATTTCAGAAAAGTGCACAGTGAATTACAATTACTTTCAATATTGTCCGTCCAAAGTTCACGTTGACTAAAGTATATGTATTGGTATAACATAAAGCCGAGATTTTTCGGCAGAAATTGCATTTTCTGATGGCATCAAAAATTTCGGTGTTAGGTTGACTGCGGATTTTCAATGCGATTCCAACCCACCTACTCCCGAGCCAATCTGGCCAAAATTGCGCCCAGGACAGCTGTCCTGAGCAAAATGTCCCAAAACAGAAAAATAAAAATGTCCGCGCCCGATGTTCCGCAAAGTGCTGTAAAGGATGTTTGTCCTATAGTGAAAAAGTCACTGCCCACCGCGTTCACGGAGATGGCTGCCAATTTCAGGACGAGATTGCGTGAAATGGCAATTTTCATAAGTTCAACCGCAGAACAATCAATGCAATAATTGCGAAATCACAGTGAGGCCACAGGTGGCTATAGATATCTCGGTACAGGTTCAAATTTCACATTGTGAAAAACAGAAAATCACGATTTGAGAAAAAAAAACATGTTGAAGATGAAAAAGTTTTGGTGGATGGGCTGCAAGGTTTAATCCTCATGCTCTTCAAGGTTTTATATACAAAACTACACCGTGAATATTTTGGGAACACGGGTTCAATTTTCATGCAAAACTGTAAAAATATTCTATTAAAGTGCCAACTGACCGCCATGGTGGGAGAATGGTGTTGGAAATACTGTATGTAGAGACATACTATGAGGCACAGGCCAAAAATTTGCCAAAAATCCACCAAGTCCGCAACCTTGTTGGAGGTGACTCGGGGAAAAGTGCAAACAAACCAGAACATAAAAACCAGCTTTTGGCTCGGGGACGAATGTAACCGGACACAGCCACTAACTTATCACAAAAAATGTAGTCTTTTTAACCAAGTTCCATTCAACACAGCCACTATTTATGTCGGTGCGATAGCAAACGACTTACTTTTCGAGAGCGTCCGGAATCGTCATATGAATGAGATTTGAAATGGACGACTACTTATTACATAAGTACTTGTAAAAATTTTCTGTATTTGGGCATGCAGGTCTGACTCCACAAGAATATTTTGCTTTGTCCTCAGTGCGAATTTCTCGGTGGAATCAAGTTCGTGGGCATGGAATGAGTGCTCTGAGAGACCCACAGAAATTTTAACCACCGGCGACTCAAGTTGTGTGAAATTTTCTGTCAAATTGGTTTGGTTGAAGTTCAATAAGATACTGATGTCGGTAAACATTGCTACATGAGCCGTTCGGCGCCATTTTTGCATCAAATAAAATTCAACATATGTCCGAATGTGTCCGAATGTTCATTGAACAGAGTGGCAGACCACTCGGGGGTATTATAATTATGCGCTATATGTGCCCCGCCGGCGGATGCCATTCTATGACTATTTTCTAAATATCCCACTATTTTTGGGTCAACTAAAGTGTAGGATCATGGAGAGGGACTCTCCCGACAATTCTGTCATAGTTGGCAGATCAAAACATCCGCTCAATGTCGAGATATGGTGAGAAAACCGCGATTGTATATTAACCCGCTACATATGTACATAGATATATGCCCCAAGCACTGCCTGCATGAGACGATGATGGTGAAAGAAAAGATGCGAGTGTATCCGCCCGCGGTGGTCCGAGAAAGACCCCCTTGCGCAACTGTTGATTGGACTCGCCAAGGCGAACGCGGCAGCAGACACGGATGATCCCACTGGCGGGTCAGCCACAGCAGGTGCAAGGTAGTGTCCATCGTGAGTTTCAAATTGGATACTTATTTGCTTGCCAGTGTGGTAAATGTAGGCAGCCCGGCCATTGCGCACCGAACTGTCCTCAAAATACAGTTTTGATGCGAAATCTCGGCCCATCGTGCCGATGATCACATGCATTTGTTTGGATTGACATGGAGAGCCCTCAGCTCCCGTTCAAAAGCACCGGGGCCGTCAAAACAAAAAGACAGTTCAAACCCAAATTTCGCTGGCTATCTTCCCAGCAAGACCCCGTCAAAATCCGGCTTGAAATGATTGCACAGTGGTCAAAATACTGTTTTGGTGCGAAATCTCGGCCCATCATGCCGATGATCACATGTGTTTGTTTGGATTGACATGGAGAGCCCTCAGCTCCTGTTCAAAAGCACCGGGGCCGTCAAAACAAATCTAAAGAGACAGTTCAAACCCAAATTTCGCTGGCTATCCTCCCAGCAAGACCCCGTCAAAATCCGGCGTGAAATGATTGCACAGGGGACAAAATATTGTCAAAATACGGTTTTGATGCGAAATCTCGGTACGGTCGTTTTCGTTAATTCCTTCGACTAGCAAGACTTTTGGAAGGTGAAAATCCTGCTCACAAAAATTTGCGCCCATTGAGACCCTTGAAGGTAGTGAACGGGGTGCTGTTTCGCTTCTACGTAGTACTAGGTTTTGTATACGCTTAATTTATATAAAAATAATATTCGGACTGTTTCTTATTATGCTCGCAATTGCGCAGATGCAGTTAGAAGCCTTCTGCCAGTGTTACAGCTATTGTCGGAACCAAAGGCGCGGCGAAATTTCGCCCGTTGTGAGACATTTTCGAAGAATTACCGATAACTTGCTCAGTTCTTGACCGATTCCCATAAGAACCAGATGAATCTACTCAGCTAATTCATACGCAATTAGTGATAGAAAATCATTCGTGAAAATACTTTATATTGAAGGACGTGGGAAATCTAGCAGCTTTTGCGACTTCGATTATAGTAAAGATCTGGGGGAGGTCTCTAGGACGTACATGAATCTCGCAGAGATGAAACAGCTGTACCAGCGCGAGGTGCATAATTTTCTTTTCTCGAAATCACGCGCAAGTTAATTTACATTTCAGAACAAACGTGTGAACGTGGTAAAGGTTTGGGAACAGCTTGACACGGGGGAAAAGAATGGGCGTAACGGACTGGTAAAGCTTGCGATGTGGTTGTTGAGCATAGTCGCAAACTCAGCCGGATCTGAACGTGGCTTCAGCAAGTTTGGAATCTTCATCTCCAAACTTCGAAGTCTGCTTTCTATTCAAAAGGCCCGCAAGATGAACACCGTCGATATGGACTTGAAGCGGCAGCACGAAGAACTGGGACTGACTACAGATCGGCTGAAACGCAAATTCGCTCGGTTTGCCGAGGGATGTGCGGGCGAAGAGGGGATCAGTGGGCTATGACGAGGCAGATTCATTCGCCAGCCTGTCAACCCAACTCATCCGTGATCTTAACGACGACAGGAATAACGACGGGAATATTCCGCTGGACGAAGAGGCGGAGGAGGATGAAGACGACGTCCCAGCTGTTCATTCGCGCTCCAACTACACACTCAAAGAAAATTTCCAATACCCCAAGAACGACACGGAGAGTCTTGAGAATGGACTTGGTTTTCATTGGTCGCGGGGGTTGAAAGATCTGCAGGATGAGTTGGAGTTGTACGACCTATTAATGGAGGATATTGACGAGTAGATAAACGAGCAGTAAACATCAATTTTTATCCTGCTTCCATGATTTTACGACGGGTTTTAAATGCACGTTCCAAAAAAGGAAACTCGGCCTGGTCAAACGGTCAAAGGGCCGGTCAAACGGTCAAAGGGCCGGTCAAAGGTCAAGACCTTCGGCCAAGTTCGGCCTGACCCCGGCCAAGACAACACTGCGCCAGCGACCAATCAATGCTTTACATTTTCAAACGCGTGAACCTATTGCCCTCGCCACAATCCTTTGCATTATCAAACGCGTGACTCCATTATAATATTGACACAATCCTTTACATTTACAA